CGGGACCCGCGGGGCCCTCCCGACCGGGCTGGGGCTCGGCCTGGGAGAACCCGAGCTGCGGGGCCCTTTGCCCGGAGGTTTGCCCACGCGGCGGAAGGTGCGAGTGGGCGCAGTGAAACCGCTGCGATTCCCAGGAGACCAGGCTCGGGCCCGCATCAGCCCCAGGCCAAGCCTTTCTCCGAGGTACCGCCTCCGCGGTCCGGGGAAACGCCGCCGGCCTGGGACACGGCGTCCTGCCGCTCTTGGCAGAGGGACAGGCAGCACCCGGGCCGGGATCGGGGGGCGACTTCTCTGGAGTCCCATTTGCAGCGCCCGTGCAAGACCCCAGGGCTATCCGGAATCCCCAAAGCCCGTTTAGATTCGCGAAAGGAAATGTTTGCACGTTGTCAGCTTAGGGTGGATCCTCAAGCGGCAAAAGAAACCACATCACTAAGCAAGCGAGGGGGAAATGCGGCCAAGACCCCAGTTCGCAGCGGATTTGGTGGGAGAAAGGAGGGCGTTTCCGGATCTCGCCGCCGACACCCCGGCGTCCCTGGGGAATCCAAGCAGGCTGGCGGGAGGTCTATCTCCCGGCCCCGGATCGTTTGCTAAAACTTCCCGAGCGGTCCAGGGCTTTGACAGCTGGTTACTAATTATCCAAGGAGCCGAGCGGTCCCCTTAGACCGCACGTCGCTCCCGGCCACTCTGCTTTAGGACCAAGCCCCTCGCTTGGCCTCGGACCCTTCAGAGCCGCGGTCTCTAGACAGGGCCAGGACCAAAGTCGCGCCGGGGACTCGGGCAGCCTCGGTCACCCGCCCGCAGTGGCAGTTTGGGATGGGATATGACCTTGCATTTGAATTTGCTACCTGGGGACTCGGCGGCTTACTCTCTAGCAAAACAGTCAGGGGAATTTCTATATATTTTTTTACTTCCGGAAATTATGTTGCTACAGTTCTGAGGTTTGAGGTTCTTCCCTCGCGGTTTCGCCCGTGGCGGCGGTTTCTCCCCAGCCGGGGTTAGGGTGCAGGAAGGTGAGAGGGTCTGAAGAGGAGCGGCGGGGGCGCCAGGGCGGCCCGGAGTTTGACCCGGGCCCGGCGGACCGACCGATCTCCCGCCGCCCACCGGCGGGCCCCCACCCCCACCCCCGACCCGGTACCTAGGCCCATCTGCCTGGCCGCAGGCGCCCGCCTTCCAGCTGGGATTTGGAAGGACGTGGGAAGCCCGAGGCGACCTGGGGCGCCCCTCGGCACCCAGCCCCGCGCCGGTCCGGACGCGGCAGAGATGTAATATAAACTGCAGCACGTGGAGTTCGGGTGTTATTAATTTATTTCTATAAATCATCAACAGAAAGATACACAAAAAGTCGTGATTAGGTTGAACGGAGAGGCGGGTTATTCATTGGTGAAGTTGTAAACGCGGCGGCTTCGAGGGGCAAGGAAAGCAGAACGCGGACGCGGGGCTGCTCGCTGCTGCCCGGGCACACGCACCGCGCTGCCGGGCCCTCCCAGCCGAGCCCCCGCGCCGCCCGGAGACCAGGCGCCGGACCCGGGCTGCCCCAGGGCCGCCGACGCCTTAGGCCCGGCCCGGAGCCCTGGACCTCAGCGCTCTTCGCTGAGCAGAGCCCCCAGCTCCAGGGGGGCGGGGAGCGAGGCTAGGGGGCCCGAGACCCCCGCTGAGGCGGGGGGACGCAGGACAGACCCCAAGGTTTCGCTCCCTTTCCCCAGCGGTTGCTGCCTTCCCTCCCCCAACTTCGGGAGTGGTCAGACTTGATTAAAGTAATTTTTCAAGAAATCGCTAGCGGTCCCCAGGTCACTGCACAGTCGGCTGCTGACCGCCAGACGCACGCACTCCCTTTTTGGCCCACCTCGCTCCCCTAAGGCGGAAAGAAAAGAACAGGGCAAGTCACTCAGGGGAGCGCCCGGCCGCTCTTTCCATCTGCTGGAAGAGAAAGGCGAGAAAAGCAGGCCGGGGGCTGCGCGCTGCCGGGTCCCCGGCCCCAGCTCTAGGCTGGCGCGCGGTGGAAAGTTGGAAAGTTGCTTGCTCCCAAGAGGCCGGGCCTGAGGCTTCTTAAAGAAGAATCACAGCGATCTGAGACGGGGTCCAGGACCTCTCTGCTTGTGGGCGGCCGAGGCATTGTTTGGAAAGGAGCGTGCTGGGCTGGCCAGGCGGGCGCCGAGGTCGGGCGCTTGACACCTGCGTCCTGAGCACAATGCCCGGGCGCGCTTCTCCCGTTCTGTGTGTTTATCGGGGTTGAGAACCCCTGATCACGGGCTGTATTTTCAAATTTCAAAACGTAACCGACTCTCGGGGCTCTTCCCGGTGAATGCATGAGAATTCTGTGGTCAGAGCTGTAAAGGTGTAACTACGCCATCTTATCCCCAACTCTGGTCCTTCAATGCCGGCTGAAAGATTTGCTATCGTTTACAAGGTTTTACTGGTTTGGTTTTTTTTTTTTTAAACCTTCCCAATTGTTAAGCGAATTCACTCTTAACAACGGAATCATTCGCTTTTAGAACATTACACAATTTCAGTTAGGTTTCTTAGACACACGAAATAAATACAAGTAAAAAAATGTTAAGCAAAACCAAAAAAGTCAAAGAATCTGTCGGAGCAGCATTAACTTTTAAAATCCAAATACTTTTTCTAACTTTTGAAGCTATTGTTGGTATCCGTTGAAGGTGTTTTTCTACCCTAAAAATATCTGTGGAAGTATTCACCAGAAATAAGATTTTAAATGAGCTCTGATGTTTACACGGGTATATGCAAAATGTTACATTACTTTCCTCTTACTCAGGGTGAATTCTCCATGCTTGAAACTGGGACGCAGTTCCTCATTTTTTGTTCCTGTTGTTAGTTCATTATTTTGTATTACATGGAAGTACCTTTATAAATACTTGAGAAATATATTAAGCTATATGTAATTAATCTTGTATTTCTCAAAACATGTCTATCAAAGCCTGTGTTTTCATAAATTTAATATTAAAGACTTACTAAAATGATCACAATTTTTCAAATGCTTACAAAAATCTCAGTTTAATTACTGGATTTTTAAAACTTCATTACACAAACATAACTTTAGTTGACATGTTATAGGTACCATTTAGAAAGAAATCGGGTATTTCATTTGCAACACTGTAAATGTTGCTTTTCAGCATTGTTTTTTATTACCTCTGAAAGTACTTTTTCCCTTCACTTTTTTTCATGTTCTGTCAGGCTATTATATACATCAACATACAGTAAAGGGATGCTGTTTTTTTTTTTTTTTAAGTTAAATATGTAGCTGCATTAAACAAATAGTATATGTGGATGTGTTGTTTCTTGAATATTTTTGTTCTATACTGTGCACTGTTTTCTTAATTTCTGTTTTCAATTATATCTCTCACTTTTAAGTCACCTATTCAATAAGCAAGAAAGGATATTGGCAAAGTTGAAAACATTTGGAATAAATTCAAAGGCACAAATACAGTGTTCTAAAGAAGCTTTTTGCATTACCTGTGTTTATGAGAAATGTAAGCTCTTATCCCAAGCTTAAAATTTATGAGAAAGATTAACTTCCAGACACTCTTACCCTGTCAGAGGAGAAATGTAAGAATACAGGAAAACATGGCATTTGGAATCATTCATATCTTATTCAGAAATTGAAATCATTCTCCCTCCTTTTGGTCTTATTTGAGAGGCGGGGCTGTGAAGATTTTTTTTTTTTTTTTTTTTTTTTTTTT